CCAAACACGGAAAAAAAAAAAAAAAAAAAAAAAAAAAAAAAAAAAAAGAAAGAAAATGGTAAAGGGAATGAAGTGGACGTGAGTTAGATATCAAAGAGGTTAAACTGATAGAATTTGGGAATTAAATAGATATGTAGTGAGAGCATGAGAGAGAAAATTCAAGGTAATGCTAAAGTGTCAAGCAAAACTGAGGTGAGTATAGTACCATTAACAGAATTAGATGCTGGTTCTGATCTGGAGATCAGGTGGTGATGTCCAACTGGTTACTGGAAATGTATAACAAAAGGTCAGACTGCATTTGGAAATATTTACATATAGTTAAGAGCTAAAATAACAGGTTCTGCTGAGACTGGTAAGAAGAAAATTGAGGAGAGAGCTCTGGGAAACACCTATATTTAGGTGTATAAAAACAGGGAAGTATTGTACAGGACAGAAATGGAGAAACGGAAAGAGGAATGAGTTAGTTAAAAGAGTAGTATGCATTAATGAATGCCAGAGAAGAACCTATAAAGGAGAGAAGGCTGAAGAGGTGGTCAAGAACGGTGAGGAGTCAGAAAGTGTCTTAGCTTTTGCTAACAATGAGATAACTGATGATCAGCAGGTGGAATGGGGATTAAAGGGAATTAAGCAACAGTTATTTTAAACCAGTGGTCTCCAAAACAGAATGTGTGCCAGGTGAGCTAATTTGCTGGAAAATTTTAGAACTACTATTTATTTAATTGAATCCTTTTTTATATTTCTATATTTTTGGTGCATATTTATAATGTATATAATATATTAATGGTTAGAGAAGACAATCTATCTGAGTTTCTATTGATCTTTTTGCTATGCAGACAAACTACAATAAATAATAAATCCAAAAGTGATAGCTAGGGCTGGCCAGTTAGCTCAGATGGTTAGAGAGTGGTATTATAACACCAAGGTCCAGGGTTCGGATTCCCATCCAGCCAGCCACCAAAAAAATAATAAAATAATAGGTGGAATTAATATTACAACACAAAAAGCATTTTCTGAAACATCAGCTTTAGAAAATACTAACTTCAATCTCTAGTAGTAGTAATTATAATAAAATGTCTTCAGTATCTCAGAATTCTGTGCTTTGACCATGGATTTTATATCTGCCATAATAAAAGTTAATTAATATTTTAAAAAATAGAGCAAATGTAAGCTTTATGATATTCCTTCTATTTCCTTTAAAATAGTACTAGTGGAAATAAGGCAATCTACAGATTACAAAATGGTTTTACTATTGACAAAGTACTTTAAAACTCAGGAACAAAATTTTATGTACGTAAATTATTTTTTTTAATTATTAATGAAAAATCAGAACAAATTAAAAACACTGAGGTTTAAAGCAAAAATGTATCCACATGCACTATCTCATGTGTACATTCCATGCCAGAGTTTTATGGTCAACAATTAATTAAACTTTAAATAAAATTTATGTGCAGAAATACCATGGAATGAAATGTGCTCAGAATGGCACTAAGATTAATTCAACTTAACTAAAAGCCAGCTTATATAAAGTTTGTTTATCTGAATTACTACTACAAGCTACCCAAAGAAAATTAGGCTTAAGAAATATTCATAATGAATATTTATAATGCTTTAAAATACAAAATAAGGATGTGATATAACTAAAACATGTTAGAAAAAGCAGCTGGGTCTTAAACTAAGTCAAATGTCAACAAGTCTGGTCCCTTTTGAGATATTTTATGAGAAATTTCAAATACCATAGCTATTAATATACTGTATGCTGAAAAGATACATTAATATATGCTGCAAATACCATCTTTACTTTTCTTGTATTTAAATTTAGAAAATAAAGCCAAAAATGTATTGCATAATATAATATTCTAAGATAGGACATATGGCTAGAAGTGACTGCCTAAATAATCAGAACTCACAAAATGAACAGATTGTCATCATCATCTCACAACCTATCTCTAAATGCAGAAATAAGGCCCTTGGAGTTCACCACATGTGGCTATACTACATAAACTATTTTTCTAAATTAATCTGAAATGCTAATTCTTCTCTTTTCAGTTATCTTCTTACACGATTCTTTAAATTGACTTACCAAGATTTACATCTGGTAGTATCTTATCAAGAAATTGTGTTTCCCCACCATTAGGAGAAAGAAAGTCTGCCAAAAGTTGACTGTTACTCAGTTCTGGATGCTGCAGAAGTTTCTTGAACAAACAAAAAAAGGAACAACAACAACAAAAAAAAAAATTTAGAAATCTACAAGGGTAATCAAAACTGTAAATGATCTTTAAAAACACAAAAAACTATTTTAAATCCCCCAAATCTATTTTATATACAAAATAACAAAATAGCGCATTTATAGAGGGAATACTATATAGCACAGTAGGTGAGACTTCAGCCTCTACAGACATGTATGGGTTTGGATTCTGGCTCCCCCATTCGCTAGCTAAGTGACTCTAGAAAAGTTCCTAAATTGCCCAAGAGTCAGTTTCCTCAACTGTAAAATGGGGAAAAAACACTACCTACTTTATAGTGTTGTTATAGAAAGCATTTAGCACAGTATCTGATGCAGAGAAGTAAGATTAAACATTAGCTATTATTATTCCTCAGTTTCTAAACTCCAAATGAGTATTACAATATCATACAAACTTCCTTGATAATTAAAAGAAGTAGGCATAAAGGGTTTTGCAGAAAACTCATTGTGGAAATGTATAAAATAACTTCAAAAATCTGTCTACTGTTCTTGCAACAATATTTTCTAACAAGACAACCTGACTTTTAAAAGCCAAAATTAACTCAGTCTTACCTAATATACAGTTTTGTAACTATGAAACAGTTATAAAACTTTATGAGAAAAATCTACATGCACAAAATACCAGTATAGCAATCTCTAATTTAAATCCATATTACCAAAAATATTTCTTCTAGAATGAGGTACTCTAGTTGAATGGGTCAATGGTATCAACAAAGACACAGGTTTCTGTTGTAATCAAACATCCTTGCAGTAGTTAATAGTTATTGCATATTTCAATATTCATACACCAAAAAATTATATTAAAATACTCTGATTTGAAAGCATTCAACAGTTCAGATACTGGAAATAAAATATAAATATCCTGAATTTTTTTCTTTTTTGTTTTCTGCTAATTTTTAATTTAAAAAGTATTTTTTTTTTCCTTTTTGTCTTTTTTCGTGACCGGTAACAGGATCGCAACCGTCAGTGTCGCGCCCGTACCGTGACCGGCAACGGGATCGCAACCCTTGGTGTCGCGCCCGTACCGCGCTCAACCAGTGAGTGGACCGGTCTCTATATGGGATCCGAACCCTTGGCGGGAGCGCCACCGCACCCCCAAGCGCCACACTCTACCGAGTGCGCCACCGGGCCGGCCCTAAAAAGTATTTATTTTAACTGAAATTAGCACATAACAAAAATGATAAAATTCCACACCCAAATAAAAAGAGACTTTTTTTTTCCGACAAATAGAAGTATCCTCTCTTTGGTGTTTACATTTGATAAGGAAAGGTGGTAATTAATTTTGGAGAGCCAGATGTCTCGAATAAGTAACTTTAAAGCTGATTCTACCATCTATTGAAATAATATACGAATTACATTGTTTACATAATACAATGTGCACATAGTGAGAAAAATGGAATTCAATTCCAAGTGGTGAATGGTCAAGAGAGATCCCACAGAACTGGAAAAACATCTAGGAGCTACAAAATGAAAGGGACTGAAGGGAAAGATTCCAAAGTTAAGAAAGTGCTAAACACAAAATCAAACAGAGAAAACAGAATAAACAAAAACTACGCAGTTTCTCAGAATGCATTTAATCTTTCACACCAACAGTTTTTCTTTCTTTAACGTCCAACACCAAATTTTAATTTGTTTAAAGCTAATTAAAGACTTTCCCCCTAAGAAAATATCAGATATTTCACCGGTTATTAATTAAAAAAAAAAAAAAATATATATATATATATATATATATATATATATACTCTTGACAAAAACTCCTTTTAAAAACTACATAGAAAAAAATTTTTAATTATTTTGAAAATCCACATGGATAGTTATTTATAAAGCAAAATACATATGGACAAGAGAAAAAAGAGACAAATTGGAAAATGCTACAATTAGCAATGTTTTCAATTAAGTAACACAGCTGGTGCTATACCTGTAGATATTCCTGAAACTCTTCTCTCTTTGACTTTAAGAATTCGTAATTTTTGGGACCAATGATCCTCTTAGAAGGAAGCTGGGCATCAGGAAATGTGCCTGAAATTAATACATATTACAGTTACTACAAAGTTCTGCTACTATTTTAAAAACCTAATTTAAAATTTACTATGGCAAATTCAGATTTACAACACTGCCTTGTAGAGATGTGACATAATCCTTTAAATAATCCTCACAAAATCAGAGAGTTTCAAGTCAGAAGTCTAGACGAAAGAACTTGAGTCTATTGATATCCAAACTATCATATTCTCTCAACAACCACTCTTCATTGACACAGATTTTTTTAGCCTTCTGTAGTAGTAAATCAACTTTGAAAATTTATCATGGGATTATTTTTGACTTGGTGGGATTCCATTAAACAAAATCTTACTGGGCTGGCCGGCTAGCTCAGTTGGTTAGAGTGCAGCCTTAACCCCTTAACACCAAGGTCAAGGTGTTCGGATCCCCATACCGGCCGACTGCCAAAGAAACCAAAATCTTTATGGAGAAATACCTACTCTCCCATGGGGGGGGGGGGGGGGGGAGGGGGGAGTAGCACTTCGTTAATGTTACATAAGCTTAAAAACAAAATTTAAAAACCATGGATGCATTTTCTCAGATAGGGCTGACTTTGGGAATTTTAGTATCAAAAAGGAACGATAACGGGAATCCAATCAAATTTGGTTGATCCAAGATTTTAAAGTATGGAGATAAATTATCTTCTCTCAACATTACACAAAAAAGAAACATTCTCAGAGAAAGAACAAGACAAGGAAGGCACTGCAACAAAGAGAAAAAAACATTTAAAGATAAATCTAGGCAAAAACTATGGAGTGAGAGCTTGCATTCTTTATCTTCCTATCACGGGCTTTGTTTGCTCTTACGGCAAGGTAAAGAAGACTCCTTGCCCTTCTCAACACAGAACCAACCCGAATTGGGATGAGGGCACACTCCACAGAACTTTTCTAAAATAAAAAGATTCAGAACACAACAATAAAACTAACCTATCTACAAAATCACTAAAAATACTTCATAACTATATCCCTGATATTAACTAAAATAAATAAATAGATAAGACAGAGTGATAGGAAAAACTAAAAAGGTAAAGTCCTTTCTTTTCAAAAGAAACATTCAACTACAAGTTTTATTTCCACATCTAAATCTAGGAGCAAAATCAGAACATTTGGCATGAAGCATAGCAAACATGTTTACCAAGGAAGACAGTGGTAAAAGAACAAAGCAACTCCGAAATGCCTGGTATAAATTTTCCACCACATCAAGATAAACAAAACTTAAATTGTTTTAGAACCTTTTCTAAAACATAGTTAAAGAATAACTATCTTTTAAAATTTAATTTTATTTTTAAAAATGTGGTTAATGTGCAATGCCAAAACTTTAAAAATACTGATAAGCAAAAATACAAATATAAAAATAGTACACTCCTATTATAAATAAAAGTGTATACAAGTGCCACTGTTATATTTTTTCAGTACAATTACTTAAAATTAGAGTGGGGGATGGGGTGAGACTGGACAAGGGGCATAAAGAATAATTACGATTTGTAATAATATATATGCTAGTAATATTGATTTGATCAACATATCTCAATGTTGAACCCCAAAAATATGTATAATCAATTTTGATTCAATAAATAAAATAAATTAAAATTTAAAAATATATAAAAATTTAAAAAATTAAAAAACCAATTACTTAAAATTAAAAATATTAATCTGGTACAACAGCTTCCAAGAAGGCTAATGCTGAAATGCAGTCTTTTATACAAAAAACCAACATACCATGAAATTCTGTTAGTTTTGATTCAAGTACATAGAATTCAAGGTATCTTCTATAAACAGACCAATGTTCAGGCTCATGCCCAACTGTAAATTAAATGAATATACACTGAGCAACAATTAATTTTACAACCCGTTATAAGGATTCTGTATTTAAAACATTAAAAATATAAAGCTGGAAGTTACTTCACAGTCTTAATAATTTATTACTTTTGGCATCACATTATTAACATATTTTACCCATATTATTTAAATTTAAAATTACCTAGAAGAGATTGACAAATTTCATCTATTTATAAAGTCATCTCAAGAAAATATACTTTTTCTACAACAGAATCATAAAGGTGGGCAGCAGAAACTTCAAAAAATTATGCAACTATGATTACTTTGAAAACATCACCAAAACAATGCACTTCATAAAAATTTGTAATTGATTTTGGGACTCTGTGATATTTACTAAATTATCCTAATTTAATATAATACAGAGCAGCACTGTCCAATAAAACTTTCTGCCATTATAAAAATGTTCTATTTATCTGCACTAACTTTGTAGCTACTAGCTACGTGTTACCACTGAGCACTTGAAATATGGCTACTAAAACTAAGGAACTGAAATTTTAATATGATTAAATTTTAATTGACACGTGGCTACTGGCTACCAACCTGGACAGCACAAAGTAATGGTTTAAAGAATGAGTCTGGGGTCAGACTGCCTATTCTAATCCCAGTCTCCCCCGTTTATTATGTAGCCTTGAACAAACAATTTAAACTCACTGTACTTTAGTTTGCTTAGATGTAGAATAATTGCACTTATAACATAAAATAATCCACATACATTTTAGCACTGATCTGAGAATACAATGGATCAAGTCAACTAAAACCACAATAACTGGCAAAACAGTACATGTATTCAGAAAAAAATCAACCTGATATAGTCACAACCTATAAAGCAAATCCCAGATTCCTTCTTCAACACTGGTCTTAGAAGATCTATATTATATTTAGTTTTGGTTTTTAAAATCCTGAAATTGCCATTTTACAACATATATAAAATCAATGAAGTAAATGATACACTTTTTTCTCCCTAATAGGCCATGGTTTCCTAGAGTACATTACACTGACAGTAAAAGTCTGCAGCATTGCTGACAAAAATTATCTTTAAATACAATTTTTAAGATTTTTTTGGTTTTAATTTTATGTTTAAATTATTAAGCCAAACCTTTCTAAATAAAGCACAAAAACTAAAGATGGTTGTCCAAAAGGCAAAAACAAAGGTATATTCCCAAACAAAACTAAGTTTGAAACCGAAATCAGGCTATAATTTCACCAATGGTTTGGCTGTACACCTACTAGAATGTTAAGAGAACAGCAACTAACAAGACTAAACAGCAACCATAGCAAAATCAAGCAGCCCTGCCTCTGTCCTGGATAGAGCAAGACCCTGCCTGGTACTTAATTACAACAGGAAAAATCACAGCTAGCTTCTCTTCCTTCCCCACTCCTATGTTCTTGAAATAGGATCAGCTTATGAGAAAAATCAGAAAACTAATACTTTTGAAAAATAAATAAGGGGAATAATTAGCAATAACCTTCACTCTACCACTTAGTTACTCCTCTCAAAACTGTTTCCTAGCATTGCCATTTTTTCCTCTTCTTTCCTCACAGATAGTTTCCTCTTCCTGAGTTCAACTTTTGTTTTTCTGCTCATCATTCCCAAAATGTCCATGACTTTGTGCTTTTACTTACACTGACTTCCCCACCTCTTAGACAAAATCCAGACTGTTTAACTCACTATGAATGCTGTTTAATCCCTGTCTCTATTACAGTCCATACCTGAAACAACCAGAAGAAAAAAGATAGCAAAACATAAAGAAAACTTTTAAAGTTGTGTTTGATCACATTCTTATCGGTTCAACAATGAGGGAGGGAAAATGCTGTCTTAATTAAATTGATATAATACCTGATACAGTGCTATTTGCATTAATGATAGTCAAGTATAATAGCTAATGATGATGGCAACAAAACCATTAAAAGAACATTATAAAAATGCCTTGCTGGACTGTCAGGTGTCTCATAGGCAGGCATCTACTACTCAGTAACGTTGGTTGAATGAATTAGTTAACTGACAAGAGAATAACCTGAAATCCCAAGCTTTCATTCAATTTTCAGTAAGTGTTCTGCACACTTATCTTTTGGATATGCAGTCATATTCAATAGTTAGAAATGGTGAAATGTTTATCATACCTGGTAAAGACAGACCTCTGGGCATCTTTTAAGAAAGGTACTCATAAAGCATCCTACCTGCTCTTCTATCATTTCTTTCAACATCAATACAAAACACAGGAATTCTCTCCTTTTTCTCCTTCCTTTCAGAGGAGGGATCCTCAAAAAAGTCTACATATGGAATGCTAATTTTCCATGCAGCAAGGTTTCGGGGAGTATTAGGTGTGCTCACAGCCTCCACTGGAGAATCATCTTCCATTACAACAATACCTTCTTCGATCTCGAAAAAAATAACCAGGATGAATTTAATATTTCCCGTACCTTAAGAACTATAACATATGAAGTACAACTATAAAGTAATATGCCCATAAAATCTGATAATTTTTCTTTTTTTTTTTGTCCTTTTTGAGACCGGCCGCACCACGCTCAGCCAGTGGGCGCTGTGAGCGCACCAGTCATCCCTACATAGGATCCGAACCTGCGGCGGGAGCGCCATGGGCTCGGCCCAAAATCTGATAATTTTCAAGTCTTTGGAAATTAAGTGATATCGAATTTCTTATCAAAAAAGTAAAGATAAAAAGATAAAACTAACAAGTTACTAGCATCAACTCCAGGTTTTGATACATCACCTGCATACAATAGAAAATATAGAACAGATGTGAACATTATGAAAAAATATTAAAAGTACACAAATACAGAAAAAATTAATGTATGGATATTTTTCATTTAGAAATATAAAATTTTATAAATGATTACAGCCATTGACGGAGACTGCACAAGTAAACTGGATTTGTGATATACACGGTATACTGGCATAACCCTTCTGGAAAGTGTTTTGGCAATATGTATCTATAAAGAGCCATAAAACAGTTTAGAACAAGTAATTTCATTTCTGGGAATTTATTATAATGAAATATTTACTCCAAATAATTTTTTTTAAAAACTGAAAAAGACAAGTATAAATATATTTCACTGTAGCATTAAATAACATAAAATAGGAAAAAGGGTCTGAAAGAGATAGACCTCTATAAAATTAAGATTTTTTTTTTATTTCCTCACTTCTTAAACTTTAATATGGTTGAAATAGTAAATCTTTTAAATATCTAAAAATAAAATATTTATTTTAAAAAACCCCACATGTTCTAGAAATATACACACATAAAGATATAAAAAACTCTCTAGTTCTTTCAATTGGAAGAGAGACTTTGACTCTGGCACACTATAAACACCTGGTCATTTAAATATCTCTTATTCATGTTAAAGGGGGCAAAATATAAATGAAACTCATTCATCTTGAACACACTTTTTTTACAGCAATGAGTCAAAGAATTTTAAGACAAATTAAGGGAATCCTGAATAGCCTAGTCAGAGCAAACCAGCACAAGGGAGGAATTTATTTTCAGAACCCTAGTACCCCACCGTCACTATCAGTTCTTCTTTGTTCCCATACCTGGTACCTGACTCTCTTCTAAGAAAATTCATTTCCTCCTCCACAAAGCCCCTTTGTTTTTTTCTGTTCTTGTCCTAAACTCACTTTCCATAATCACCTACTAAGACTGCTACCGATCTTAGGAGGACTTCTTAATGCTCTGTTGAAAACAACTTCAAGACATAAAAGAATGAAACTATAAAAACAGATTATAGGTCATGGGTTTTTGCTTTTTATGGAACAAAGTTATCTCCTCATAAACTTGGAAGAAAACAGAGGAGTATGTATGAGGGAAATGTCCACTCCACTGCTTAGAACATAAGGTTCAAGGTAGCATTTTCCATGGTTATTACAACTGTATTTTCGCTCATGGATGTGGCTTCTGAGGAAAGAGGATAAAGTGGATCATAAAATAACAGAGAATTTGTTTAACAAACTGACTAAAAGCCAAAAACAAATGGACATTCTTAAATAAAAGGAAGCCCCTCAAAATCAGTCTAAGAAACAAAATAGAAGAACAAAATTCTTAGCAACATAAAAATATCAATGAACAAAGGACAATGTTTTATAATTTATTAGTTTCCATTTAAACCATTTAAATGGTGATTATATCAACAAAACCTAATGAAAAACATCTAGAGCAATATTTCTCTAAGAATTTTCAAGGCTTCCTTTAATGTTATTTGAAAAAAAGTAAATATTGAAACCAAAATGTTAACAAAGAAAAACCACGTACTTTTTTGTTTTCAAACAGATGATCTAACAAGAGGATGGGAATAAGGGAAGCAGAAATAAAAGGTGAGGAAATGTCCCCCTATTTCCTTAAGAAATGTTAATGTTTCTTATCATCTTTTTCTATATGGAGATAACAGCCATCTTATCAGTGGGCACATTATGTTCCAGAAGTTTATTTGTAAATTAGTTCTGAACTTGGACAGAAATGCATTGTTAGACAGACACAATCTTATATATAGCTGACCTTTGAACAACATGGGTTTGAACTGTATAGGTCCATTTATACATGGATTTTTTTCAATAAATGTATTGGAAATTTATAACAAACAGTTAAGTGGCCTAACTAACAGGCTATCAGTAGGCTATCAGTAGTTAAGTAGTTAAGTAACAATTAAGTGGTAGTTAAGTAGTTAAGAGATTGGGGAGTCAAAAGTTACAAGCAGACTTTCGACTGCATGGGGGTTGGCTCCCTTAATGTCATTCAAGGGTCTACTGTACAGGGCTCCCAGGGCAGCATACATATGCTGATTTAATCCATAACTTGCATTCATATAGTTATGCGAATTGAGAATCACAATAAAATTAATCAACTTGCCCAAGATCAATAACAAGTAGACACTGCTGCCAATTGATCACATCAAGTTCCCTAAAACACAATGCCTCCCAAGACTCCGTTTCAGATCACAAACCACTATCTCCCTGACAATGAGAATGGCAACTTCCCTTTTCACTCAACTTACTAAACAAGACAAGGAACCACAGCTTAGAACCAGCACAATGCCTTCTAAATCCTAAGGGGCACCATCTCAGTCTAGGTTGGTACCTTATTACCCCTGTCTTTTCTTTTGAGTATTAGAGATTAGTTTGCCTGCTTCTCCTACTTTCTATTATTACTATGTTTACTTCCAGTTAATAATTTCCTTCTTCCTTGGGCCACTACAAAACAGAACTTTCCTAGCTTTTTAAAGCTATTCTCCCATTTCTGAAGAAAAAGAACAACTTGTATTTCAAAAAATTACATTTTGAAAGTTCACAATTACATGGACAAATAATTTCGTTATAATATTAAGTGGGGAGAAAGCAGGACAGCAAAATGAACATATTCCACAGAGGTGGAAAGAGAAAGGTATTTTTTTTTCCTTTTTGTCTTTTTTACTGACCGGTAACGGGATCGCAACCCTCGGTGTCGCGCCCACACCGGGGACCGGCAACGGGATCGCAACCCTCGGTGTTGCGCCCGCACCGCGCTCAGCCAGTGAGTGGGAACCGGTCTCCACATGGGATCCGAACCCTCGGCGGGAGCGCCACCACACTCCCAAGCGGCGCACTCTCCAGCGCACCACCAGGCCGGCCCAGAGAAAGGTATTTTTTAAAAAAGAAAATAAACTATTAATAGTAGGATTGGGCAGTAGGATAAGTGGTATTTAAACTTTTTCCCCGCTTTTCTATGTTATTTAAAAATTGAGACTATAATATGTTTAAAATTAAAAAATGTAAAGATTATTTGAAAAAGACTCCTTTCTCTGTCTAATATCACTTCTACCCACACTTTTAAGGAAAATTAAGGACGTAAAGAGAAAAAACATGTTGTATGTGAATTATCTTAAAAGGAAAAAAGGGCTTAAATAAGATTTTGTTCCATTTAAATTATTATGAAGAATTGGTGAACCTTTCAACAATTCATCAGTGCAATGGGACAGAGGTCAAAAGGAAATGGTAAAGGGGCAAAGTCTATGTTTTAATCATCTTTTCATCCCTATTGCCCAGGATCATTAAAAGGCAAACTGAGGACCCAAGATCACTGTGCAATAAAGATTTGTTAAGCAAACGAAAAGTACAAATGAGACAATATATGCTCTTATGGGACTCACTATCTGGTAAGAGAGGCAATAATGAACATAAAATTTCAAATACAATATGGTGTATGCTTTAGCATATCATATAATGGAGGCACTAAAGGAGGGAATGTTCAGTTCTTTTTTTTTTTTTCCTTTTTGTCTTTTTTCGTGACCGGCAACGGATCGCAACCCTCAGTGTCACGCCCATACCGGACCGGGACCGGCAACGGGATCGCAACCCTCAGCGTTGCACCCGCACCTCACTCAGCCAGTGAGCGGCCAGTCTGTATATGGGATCCGAACCCTCGGCGGGAGCGCTGCCACGCTCCCAAGCGGCGCACTGTAGCAGTGCGCCACCGGGCCGGCCCCGGGAATGTTCAGTTCTACTTGGGGACTCAGGTAATGGTTTATGGGAGTAGCTGAGATTTGAAAGACATACAAATTTAATTTTCTAGGTAAATAAAGGAAGGAAGGGCATTTCAAGCAGGACATCATACCCAAAGGTACAGAGAAATAAAATAGTACAGTAAGAAAAATGTGCATATAAATTATGTGAAGATCTTGTTAAAATTCAAATTGATTCAGTAGGTCTAGTATGGGGCCTGAGATTCTGCATTTATAACAAGCTCCCAGGTAATGCCAATGTTGCTGGTCCACAGACTACAGCTTAAGTAGCAAACGGTTAGGGCATCTATTAACAGCTCCGTATACCTGGAGCATATGGTTGGAAAGACATAACATTAGGATATAAACTAAAAGCCTAACCAAAAGATGGTAAATTGTTTGACTACTAGAAGCATCTCAGCTTAACAAAAACCATTATGCCTTAGTAAGCAATAACTTAGTGCTCAGGAATTTTAAAAATTAGAGTAGTACCAAGAAACTATAACAACTAATTAAAGGATGGGAATATAAAGGAAATCTTAAGTAAGAAGATAAAAAAGGGAAAATAACAAATGAGCTTATCAAAATTTTTATGCTATAGTAAGTATAAAGTTATACATACATCAAATTGAAAAATTTTTACTTACAAAGTCATCTTCACCTTCAGCTAAACCGTAATTAGGCAACATAGCTCCTTCCATTGTGGTACTCTTGAATACTCCTTTAATTTTGCTACCTATTCTGCTGATTCCAAATGATTCTCCTCTTTTCTGTGTGCTCCTAAATATTAAACAAAAATGTATCAGATCCACAGCAAATTATCACGACAGTCCAGTTTACTGTAAAGAATAATTAAGAAAAAGAAAAATAGTTTTTCAAATGGTAAACAAAGCATAGTTAACATAACTTTAGGAGTTTCAGTCATAGATTAAGTCTCAATATCTCAGAAGCCAAAAATGACAGAGCATTTAAAATTTAAATTTGGTTTTTAAAAAAAAAAGTTTAAATTTGGAGGATGAATAAATGGGACAATATTAATAAACATTTGAAATTTATCTACTATTAACTTCAAAACATTAACTGAACTAATTTTTTTTTTAAATCAGAGGGAATGAGGACCAGGTAAAGGGACACGAAAATCAACTACAATGTATATTGAGAAGTTAAAATTAAAAAAAATAAAATAAAAACATTCTCACCACAAAAAAAAGAAAAAAATAAAAATAAGTTTTGCAGGACTTTAAATTATTATGATATCAGAATACCTAATGAGCAGTTTGTCAGCTAACTTTCTGAAGAGTTAAAATAAAAATAAGCAATGCTGTACTGTAATTAGTTACCAAAAGAAAAAATAAATCAGAACCCTGCCCCCCCAGTGGTATATAGTTCTTATTGTCATATTTTGAAACAGATACAAAAAATGTGTTAAGACTTAGTTCAATTAGACTAATTGTACTACTAAATTAACAATGCAAAAGAAGAAAGTATAAAACTATGACCTTGTCAGTACTTCATTTTCAGATGGAATTCAACAGAAATTTTGTCCTATATGACTGACAAATGTTCAAGCAAAATTCAACTTTATAATCATATGAATACTCAAAAAGAGGAATGAGGTATAAAAGCCATCTTATTTAGCCTGTCCTTGGCCTCTTGGTGCTCAGAAAAAAAAAAAAAGTGCATCTTATTTAACTTCAAAGTAATAAAAAGAAAGATAAACTGCCAAAGGGAAGGATTAGCAATGAGCATAAGGATAAAAGCAAATGTAGCCCAAGGAAGAAGCCTGCTCTGCCAAAAATATTAAATACTGGTTTTGCAATTTTTTTCAACAGTGAACTTCTGAAAGCAGAAGTAGCTGGAAAGCCGGGGGGGGGGGGGGGGG